TTACGCTTTGGCGGTTAAAATGGAGAGAAGGGGGTGGGGGAGGAAAAACCGAAGTTTAGCATACATGAAATTAGCATACAACACTCCGGGGATATGCGATTGTGTTCCAAATTCGCTTTATTGCCTGATTGAACTAACTGTTCTGTGGCGGCATGTCCTTTAATTTAGTGAGAATATTATTTAGAATTCTGAGATATACTTTTCAAAACAAATTAACAAAGGGATAACAGAATAGAAAATCTTAATAATAAAGTCCAATAACCTTAAAATTACATTAAAGATATATTTAAGTTTAAAATAACAATTTTATTTCGAAGAAACTAGTTAATTAATTCCAACAAATTAAAAATACTGTTTGCGTGCTGAGCCAAAAATCCACTTTCCAACTCCCAAACAAAAACAATAATTTAGAACAAGATAATAAAACTCTTGAACCAGGAAAAGCAGAAAGTGATAAATGGAATCGCTTTAGTCTGTCTTCAGTTCCAGTTGTTTTATTATTTTATTCGAATTTGTTTTTACGCCCAGTTCCGCATTTGGCTGACGCAGGCGGCATGCAACAAGAGCAGCATTCACCGGGGGCAACAGCAACATGTACGGCAGCAACATCAGCGGCACGGCGGCAGCAACAACAGCACTCGTCTACAATTAAGTTTTATGAAACATTTGTTTTTGCTTTTTTTCGCATTCTTCTCTTCTACGTCAGCACTCGAATGTGTGTGTGTGTGTGTGTGTGTGCGTGGGGGGTAATGGGCTGAAAAAGGGGGCGAAAAAGGGGGTGGGCAAGGGCGTAGGTGAGGATGGGCGCATGGAGGCAAAATTGAAATGCAAATTGAAAGGCACAAAGCGAAAATACGCCAAGCGAAACTGAACAATCAAAGCGGGAGACAAAGCAGCGAAACAGCGAAAACGTCAGCCACTGTGACTGCGGCAGAGCTAGAAAATGTCACCATCACGATCCAAATGGAAAATCGCTGGCAAAGCAACAGCCAAAAACAAAAATCAAAGAGAGATCGCTCTTAGAGATGCCTTAAAAAAATGCCAGGCGAAACTCTGATTGCTATTTTTTCAAAATAAGAGTTACCCAAATACCAAAAATAAATGTACTTTTAACTTATAAAAAATAAGAAGGGCGGAGACTAGTCTGCGTAGAAACGGACAGACGAACGGACGAACATGGCTAGATCGACTCCAACTGTTGCTGATCAAGAAATGACTGAAATAATAATACCCTTTGCAAGGGTATTCAAATTTCAGCAAGATGCCTTTTTTTTAATGGAATTTTTCCTAAGAAAAATAGATAAAACATCCAAAATTTCGTTAGCCAGTATTACCAGCTGGATCTTGGCCATCTGCACACCACCGATCGCTGCCGCTGCGGAAAACTCACCACGCGGCTGCGTCTAGTGAAATGGCGCAAAAAAAAGCAGCACCGTTTTGAGGTGACAAAGTGCCAACTGCTGTGCCGCCGCTGCTGCTGCTTGCGTCGCTGCCAGCGCCGCTGCCGGTGTCGCTGCCACCGCTCTCGTTGACTTTCGGTTCGCTCGCCCGCCGCTCAGTTGCCTTGTGCGGTTGGATTTGGATGCTGCCGCCAGCCAAAGAACCGAGAAAATAAAGAAACACAAACCACAAAAACAAAACGGAAAATCTAGCCCGAATAATGAAAATAATAATTAATAAAAAAACGCACGGTGCGCGTGTCGCAAATTAAAAACTGTGCCTCCGGAAAAAGATCGGAAAAGTGCAAGAAAGTGTGTAGCCCAAAGTACCAAAGGGAAATTACAATGAAAACAGTGAACTGTGGGGGAGGGGAAGGGGAAGGGAAATCAAAACAAAGGCGACAAAGGGTCAAAACGCTGTCAATCGGGCCTAAAAATAACCGGTCACAAAAATAACCCAAGCAGCCAAAAGTTCCAGTGTGTCTTAATTGAGACGAACGGGGAAATTGTAAAATTTCAATTCAATTAACCGATGGACTTGAAAAGCAGAAAAGCGACAAAAAGAAAACCGAAAAGCCGGAGAGGCATCATCGATATAAAGTGCGAATGAAAAGAAGCCAAAGTTCAATGTTGAGCGGTCAACAGAGGAGCACAATATACCATATATACTATATACAATATTACTGCATATGAGATATGGGGAATGTATGGAATATATGGTATATGGCGCGCTAAGAGTTCGTTTGGCAAGCCATCAACTGGGTTTCGGACTTTGGTCCAATCAAAATTATTAAGTATTACACGATAGTTGGCGGAAAATCGCTGTGTACACATGTTCTAATTTATCGTACAGATTTGAAAATTTTTAAAAATGTTTATTCATTGACTTAATATTTTAAAAACTGTTATATATTACATAATTTATGACATACGTAATTTAGGTTCTTTTTTAAATTTTTTTCTTTTTTTCTTATTAACTAAATGTTTTTTTTACCTTAAAAATCTCTGATGATTTTGAATATTTTTTTGATAAACTTTTTATTTGTTTTTTTTTTATTTTCCGGCTTGGTTTTTTGTACAGATTACGAAAAAAGCAACAACAAAACAATCATTTAAGAAATACTGTCTTTAAGCATTATTTCAGATGTTTGTTTTTTATTGTCATGAGTTTACAAAATATTTATTTTGCCATTATTTCGATACCGCACTTATTTGAATCACACAATTTTCTCCAGATATATTTGTTCGGAACCACAGTCATGTTTAAGTGAGCGTGCTGCCGAAAAATTCGCAGCAACATTGCACTGCGAAATCGGTGCCAAAAATCGGCATTTATCTGCCCTATTGTTCTGCCACTTCTTGGCTGCCTTCCACTTTTACTATGCTAGTATATTCTTTCTATACCCTTACTGCTTGGCATATTGAACCCAAAGGCCAACTGCCAGCCATGACATTTCGAGAATTTCGCACTCATTTATCAGAAAACTATGGCGAAAACTATGGCAGAGAGGCTATGGCATCGCTGAATGAGAATGAGAATGGGAAAGAGTCAAAGTACGTCGCATTTCGTTTATTTGATTTGATTTATTGTCGATTTGCTGCTGCCGCTTCTGCTGCTGTTATTTTCTTTTTCTTTTTCCTTGGCTTGTTTTGCCAGCTGCGCCCAGCCAAAAACATCACAAGACACAAATCAAGGAGCTTGGCCACGCCCACGAAATTTCGAGTGGCTGTGGGCATGCAGATTGCGCATACGCCACGTGAGCCGACGGGTATTAATATTATTAAAAATAACAATATTAATAATCGACCAGAAACCGCGAATATGCATTTCCATTAAAGCGTATGGCAATATTATTGGCAACTAATAATTTCCAGGCGCAATTTATGCCGGCATAAATTTACACATAAATTCAAAAGGGGGGTGGTTGCCACCCTTCCACCTGCCGTGTGGTCAAAATCGAGAAAAACATATATAAATACTGTTTTAAAAATAAATATCAAGTCACACACATGTTTTAGATTTGAAATGTTTGACTTGCTCGCTGCCTGTTCTCATAATTAACTTAAGTATTTTTAGCAAAAAAAAAAAATACAAAAAAAATTAAAATATGATGTCGTCGTCTTGTGCTGCTGTTTTTTTTTTTGTTTGACTGGCAAACAAAGCAAACCAAGTGTTTCAATTAAAATGATAAAAAGAGGAAACAAAGGTAAATTGAACGCACAGCTCGGAAATATAATAAATTATATCCCATTGCAGGGTATTAAGTTTTGGAATAAATATCATTGTTCTATTTTTTAAGCAATCTCATTTAAGATAGTTTCTTTGGGCCTATGTTTGTTTGCCAGCCGCTTAAATTCATTCATAAATCTTAGCAGACCCAGATAAATTATGATTGTGCAACAGATTAGGCAAGCGTCTACCAGGTTTAGCTGGGAAAGTAGCCAAACGGAAGCAGAATATAAACAGCTGAGATATGAGGTAGATATAGGGGTTCAAGGCACTCTCTATGGCCGAAAATTAAATCTCTTCTGGGTTTTCCGCTGATAAGGAAAGATATCAGGTTAATCTTGTGGTGAATAAACCTAGAAAATAATATTTAGGTATCTAGAAAAGTAATTACATATAAAAGTAATAGTATTTCTTTCATGTCTCTTAATGGATTTATATATACTGTCGGTAAATTTTTTCAATTTTAAATACTGAATTGTTTGAATTATTGTTCAGTGCAACAAAATATATATATTTTTTTAAATGGGCTCAGAAAATATATATTGAAAATGTTTTAGGTTTTTGTCTATAAATGCTTAGTTACTTTACATTCATATTAAATTTCTCCTAATTGCTTGTCTCACATATATTTAGAAATTCTTTGATTTCACTTTAAGTTCATTAATTGGTGAAAAACTTTTTGACACAGACACCGAAGGCCTGGAGCTCAACTTAATATGCCTGGGTGAATATCAGCATCTGGATCTGGGTCTTCGCATCCGTCTGAAAAGTTTACTCCAGCGATTTACCCCAGACCCCTCCGTTGCCATGCATATATATAGACATGTATATATATATATATATATATGTATATATTGCAGGTCCTTGTTGCTTGGCTTATTGAAATGTTTTGCCTCCTCGCTGGCCTTTGCTTGTTATCAAGTGGCCCGCCCACTGACCGCCCACTCCCACTCTATGTAGAACACCTCGCCAGCAGGCCAAACGCTTAATGGCAATTAAGAATATTAATTTAATTTGCAGCCTTTGCTTAGTCCCGCTCCTCCCCCTCTGTTTTCGGAGCCCAATCTCTATCCATTTGCCGGATGCATCTCAACTTTGATTACACGGGAAAAAATGGGCTTAAAATTACTTTGCTTATTCTATTAAAACAGCTATTTTTTGAAATTTAAGTAAATATATGAAAAATAAAAAAAAAGGTTTTATACGAAACCTTTATAATTAAGACGACACTTTAAAATTTTTTCCACTTGATTCAAATTATTAGTATTAGGCATTAATTTATAGTATATAATATAATAGATATTGTTATTCCACTTTGTTTTACTGTTTTCAATTTTCGATTGAAGTTTACAATTTACAATTTGCAAAATCAATATACCAACATATATCAATATTGTTTTTCTACAGATTTAATTTTTCTTTTACTCTCATGTAGTTATATTTCCTAGGATAGGTAACATTTTTCTTGGCGTGTGGCCCCGAGTGGCAGCCCTTGCCCATGGCAATTGTTAATATTCATTAGCTTAAAATCCTTTTCTCGAGTTCTTGCCATTTCGCAGTTGAGCAGCAGGAGCTGCCACTCCAAAGCGCCGTCTTAAAAGGGGAAATCCGGTTTTTTGGGCAGGGAAAATGCCCGGTGCTCGAAAATTGTTGCCACGTTTTCAATTCCAATTCCAACTCAATGCCGGGCATTAATCGCTATCACAAACGACGATGGCCAGGACGAAAACGATGGCAACGGCAATGCCAATGCCAATGGCGTTGGCCAGGACGTGCAGACAATTTTTCATTTGGGCCAGCTCAAGTGCATTTCTCATTGGTTGAAATTTGCAAATGAATGAATGATGGATATATTTACGTATACTGGATCTATTCAGCATCTACAGGATCTACTTGAAGCGCATAATTGTGGGCGATTATTAATGACTTTCGCGATGGCTTGCGAATGACCCAAAAAGGTTACGGTTTCATTTATACATTTTTATGACGATTTGATGATGCTCATGCTCTCGGCACTTTTAGAATATTTATTATTTATTTCTGAATTTTTATTTTCGGATTTTATTATGTCAAAGTCAAAGAGCTCGTGGAAAACGAGGGTGGGTGGGTGTCGAATGCAAAGTGTCATTATTGAAATACGTACAGATATTTCAAGGTTTTTATCGATTTTGTCAATGGGGCCACATCGAGAGTGAGGTGCTGACGATGGCAAGAGCATGAGTCTCCTCCCCGGAATCTCAATCCCACTTCCATTTCCAAGTCCAAGTTCGGGCCATTGACGACAGTTTGCCTTTCATTAGCCGAGTATTTTCCCGCTTTTCTGCTTTTCTGCTTTTCCGCTATCCCGCTCCACCACCCACACTCTACATACCCATGCCTTTCCACCTTCTCGCTTTTGCCGGCAAAGTCCAGACCTCTTCAAAGGCAGTCGACATCGAAATTAATCACATTTGAATTGAAATTGCGTTTCAAGTTCTGTTACGTCTTGCTTGGTTTCGTTTTATTCGGTTTGGCCGTGTTTTCGGTCGCTCGTTATTTCTGTGGTCACTCATATTTGGTATCAAACGATTCTAATTAGAGATGATTGCCATTGCCTTTTTTTTCGGCTCTCGGTTGTGGCGTGGGCTAAAATTGTTTTGAATTTTAAGCATATCATAGACAAAGGGTTGCATACTGATTGCCTTTTAACTTCAGAGATTGCAATGCCAAAATGTTCGGATCAACTTTTCTGGAGCCTGTTTTTTATTCAACAAAAATGTATATATTGAGTGATGAAAATCATAAATCTCATTGTGAAAATGGCTTTGCCAAACTGAATTCCAAGGCGACAAAGTGCAGAACTGCACATAAATAAACGTATGCATTCAAACAAATTTCCTCGTAAATTTTGAATTTTAGGAAATGCGAACCATTTATATTGTCTTAATCCATTGGCCTTCGGTGCAGCTTAAACAGACTTTTTAGATGTTTGACAACCTATTAGCACAAAGCCATTGACTTCCATCTAAATTCGTTTCGCTAAATTTCATTTTCGCTTTTTATTCTTGTCGAAGGAAAAGAGGCGATTGTGATGTATTAAGACTGCAGTTAGTAAAATTGATTTGCAATTCAATTTTGCAACTTTGACAAAGCGCGCATATTTTCTTGACCCTCTCATTTTCTTGCCCACCATTTCTTCGTTTACTTGTCTTCCATTTTCCTGATGAATTCTCGACATAATTGCTGGCGTTAAAAGACTTTTAAACTCAAAATTGCACTTTCATCTAATTGGAGATTTATTTTTTTTAAATTTAACAGTGTTTTTTTCATTTTATTGAGGGTAGTTATTTGATTTTTATAATTAATAATGTGTGCTAGGATACACACCCACACATACGGACACGCTACATTTAACAGTAAATCAAGTGTGGATGCCAAAATTTTAGTAATGCGTAAAAAACAGAGCACAAAACGCGCACAATTCGCGCACAAAACGCGGACAAAACGCGCATAAATCGGTGTCAAGGGAGCGACGGCAAAAAAAGGATATTAGATAGAAAGTTGCTTAGACTTTGGCAATCGACATGGAAAATCTGCAAACCTACAATTTGCCAGGCCAATAACATGCCCTTGTAGTATTAAAAAAAAGCCACGCATTCAGGGAGAAAAAAAAACAGAGAAAAACAAGTCACAGTTTTCTGTATGAATATTCATCTGATAAGAATTTAATTACAATGCACATAAACAAAATGTATACAAATGTATTAATCACACACGCACACCTATGGGCAATGGCAGTTGCCGTGCGCTAGAGCGAGACAGCAAGCCGGGGAGAGCGGGAGGGGCAACTTCATATCCAAATAAGGTCCCGGTCAAAGTTTTATTTTATTCACTAAGTCTGGAGAATTTTAAATACTCTTTAAATTCCGAATATACGCCGTAAAGAAATGTTTTTAAAAATAAATTATTTTTAATTTAAGGAAATTATTTTAAAGATAAACCATACATGTTATATTCTTTTTCTTGTGTAATATTTAGTTGTTTTATGAACTTTTTAATTACAAAATAAATTTACAGTCCTAGGTGAGCCTGTAAATTTCACTTTATATAGAATTTTAAGTGTTTCTTTTGGTTAAGTGGGGTTTAGAAGCTGGGCTTTTGAAATAGTAAAAAATAGCAAATAAAAACAGCAACGATATGCCAATAAAAAATGCATTATAAATAAAAAATGTTATTTTATCCCCGTTGTTTTTTTTTGGGTGACCCAGTTCCATCTAAGTTTGAAAGTACCCCCCATAAAATGAGTGAATTAGGGTATGAAATCGTATAATAATAAGCCAAACCCAAAACAGAATCTCCGGGCAATCTTTTTGCGCCATAATGACAGCCGCAGACACGAAAACGGACAGCAGCAGAAATAGGGGCAAAAACCGATTCAGAACCAGAATCAGCGACCGAATCAGAGTCACAGAAATCGAAATCCGTATCGGGATCGGGACTGCGACTCAATTTAGAGCTGAATGCAAATAAGCTGCAAAAAAAAAAACGAAAAAGAAAAAGAAAAAATTCCAACAAAAATTCTACAGACCATACAGCGAATGTGTAATGAAGTGAAGTGAAATGCAAAAAGCGTGCAAAACGAAAAGCTAAGGTGAAAGGGAACGGATGTGGAAAAATAAGTCACTGTAAAGACCATGTTCATATCTTATTTGAACTGCGACGCCAGCAGCAACAACAGCAGCAGCTTCGCATACAGCAATAGCAATAGCAATAGCAACAGCAACTACAGAAGCAGCAGCAGCAGCGACAATAGCAGCAACATCAACAACAGCAGAAGCAGCAACAACAAGAGTACCTGTGATTATTGCTGCAACTGCAACATCTGTAGTAATAACATTAGCAGCAACACCAATTGCCAGAACAAATCTGGCAACAGCAACAATAACCGAATTTCCAACTGTAATTGCAGCATTTGCAACAATTTCAACTGCAGCAGCAGCAATAACAACAAGACATCTAGTAGAAGCAACAGCAACTACAGCGAGCACTGCAATTGCAATTGCAATATCTGCAACAATATTAACTGCAGCAGCAGCAATTGCCCCTGCAGCAGAAGCAACACCCCCGCAGCAATATTCGGCATGGAGCGATTGCTGCACGCCGTTCGCGAGGAGTTCCAAACGGAGGACGAATACGAGGCGGAGGTGGACGATGATGGGGGCCACACGACGCACAGGAGCAGCATCAGCAGCTGTTGCAGTAGCAACAGCAACAGCAGCTGTAGCAGCAACTGCAGCAGTAGCAGCAATAGCAACAGCAATAGCATCAACAGCAACAGTGACGGCAGCAGCACATCGGCGTCGCAGTTGCTGCCGGCGCCAAGACGTCGACTGCAGCGCAGCGATAGTTTTGGATCAGTTGGGGGCGGTGTTGGTATGGGGGGCGTGGCAGGAGCGGGGGCGACGGGAACGGTAGTGGGAGGAGTGAGGCGCTTTCGCCGCTCCTCAATCGGCATGCAGCGGAAGTCGGCCTTCCGGCAGCGGAAGCTCGACTCTTTGGGGGCGTGGCGCCGGAAGAGGTGAGTCCCTGAAATATTAAGCAGTGGATAACCCACGTTAGTATCTGCAAAAACTAATAAAAATTTATAAGAATGTGCTCATCACACTGAGAAAAAAATTCAAATATAGGTATAACAAAAATATATATATATTTGTATTATTTAAATTAATTTCATTAATAATAATTCTTTTAACATATAACACAAGTAAACAGTTCTTAAACATTTCTTTTAACAACATGTTAAAAGATATTCACCAAATGTTTGAATTAATATATAATAAGTACTGCAAACACGTATACACTTATTTATTTAACTTAAAGAGCATAAAATACCCATCTTTAAAGACTTTAAGTGGCCACATTTACAGTGCTTATCGAGTGCACACCCCCCACAGCTAAACCAATTTAATAAGCAATCTTTGTAACCTTTGACCCCTCCCTATTTTCCTCCAAGCAGGCGTACTGCTTCGGCGAGCAATTCCCGGAGACCGATACGAATTGTGCCCGACTGGACGGAGAATGCGGTGCAGGGCGAGCACTACTGGAAGCCCACCTCGGCCTCCGGCGATCTTTGCTGCCTGAATGAGGACTGCATTGTGAGTACATACTATTTAGATATAAGTATAGTAAATACCAGCGATATCCCTTGCCACATTCCTTCAATTCAATTAACACAACAGAAACGTGAAGTGAAGTAAAGTGATGGGCAGGATACGTATACGTATAGTACATGCGAGCGTAATTTATTTATTGCGTGCCTGTCCAACGTTCACGAAATAAAGCCGCAAAAAAAAATAGGGAATTTGGATCAAGAACGATGGGCGTGTCATCAGTTTTAGCCAGAACCAGCCAAAAGCAGAAGAAAATGTACTTCATCAGGCTCATTGTCAATCGCAGAGGGGCAAAAACCAGCTAGGGATACAAGTCAGTTGGGGCGGACCAGCTTCTATGGAAAATCCTGTCTTATCTCAATCTGTTCCATACAACAAATTGTGGTGGGATATGGTAAAGGAAAATCTGGGTTACTCTCTGTCCAGGCTAAATGAATTACATTGATTTATTAAAGTACAACTTAATATTAATTATGATATAACTACAAAAATAAGGGAAATATTAGTTATATTACAAAATTATTCTGACAATCTGACATAATAAAAATATGAAATTTAACGGTCTTTTTAATTCTAAATTCTCGAAATTTGACAGAGAAATAAAAAATAACAATTTTTGTTACTTCAAAAGCCAAACTCACCTAATTTCGATATAGACAATTAAACAAAAGTAGGTTAGGCAAGTGAAGCCAACTAGCTGAATTGCGCACAAGGTTTTCTTTAGTTTTTTCAAGAAAAACATCTCTTGACACCTAAGGCAGTATCCTTGGAAATCCGTTTTCACCTGCTAAACCGCAGCAACCTTTGCAATTATTTGTCAAAGTTTGTTTTTCGAGAATGCGGGCAGCAATTGCAGCTCCGTCATTAGACAGTGGTTTTGTGAAACTGAGGGAATTTGCTAATTAGCGCAGAGAAAAGGGCAAACACAACACAATTAATTAAATGTTGAATATATATATATATAAATATACCTATAGGTATAGGGCTTTGAACCAATTTAAAATAATACCTTGCGATGATATATTATAGTACAAATTAAAAAAAAATAAACCCTATGAATAACGCTTTTGCTATTTTGTATATTTTAAACAAATTGCATTTAAATTATTGGTTTTTAAATGCTTCAAAATAAATAAGCTTTAAAAAATAGAATAGAAAACAAGACAAGAGTTTTAAGGGAATATTTAGAAATTGAAAAAGCAACAGGAAAAACCGGTGAATTGAAATCAGATATTTCGCTTTTGGGTAGTACTTTCACGAAATCTCAAATTCTTCCTGTTATTCTGTGCGATTTCAGAAAAGCGGCCAGCGGATGAAGTGCTCGGCCTGCCAGCTGGTTGCCCACCACAACTGCATTCCGATCGTGAACGACAAGAGCGCGCTGGCGTGTAAGCCAACCTACCGGGATGTGGGCATCCGGCAGTACCGGGAGCAGACCACCACGCACCACCACTGGGTGCACCGCAAGCTGGAGAAGGGCAAGTGCAAGCAATGCGGCAAGGTAGGTTCAACACCAAGTGCAATACACAAGTTACCACGTTCTTTTCTTAACTTTTTTCGTATTTACAATAATTTTTTTTTTGAGAAATATATATTTTAAGATTTTAATCAGAGATGGAATTCTCACAAGAAATTTAATGTATTTGTTAATGAACAAGGGAGATCAGCCCGATAAATTTTGTTATCTTTTTGAGTCTTACATTTTTGCTTAAGTAAATTATAGATTTCTATAGATTTTTTCCTAAAGTCAAAATTATATTTTTCGCAGAACAACCAAATTCTAACTAGTATAGAAATTTCCAGAAATCGTATATTTTTTCTAAAGCTTCTTCAACCAAATAAAAGATCATTAAACAAGTAAAAAAAATATTTTAATTGTCACATTGTAATTAAGTAAAATTTCTAATCAGAGTTGTCTCAGTAAAACGAGAAAAAAAGCATTTGTCTTATTTTAAATTATAAGATTTGTTGGTATTCACGATAATTTATAATTATAATAATATATTATCTTACCTTAAATTTATTTTCTTAAAATAGTTTTTGTAACCTTGATTGATATATTCAATTTTACCTTTCTTTAGCAACATCTGCCATAATTTTTTTCTGTGTGACAAATATAGAGTGATTCTGGAACTAGGATATTATTATATAATTACATGTTATGCACTTATCCCTTTAGTTCTTTCCTATGAAGCAGGCGGTGCAAAGCAAGCTATTTGGGTCGAAGGAGATTGTGGCGTTGGCCTGTGCGTGGTGCCACGAGATCTACCACAACAAGGAGGCCTGTTTCAACCAGGCCAAAATTGGCGAGGAGTGTCGTCTTGGTGAGTCTGCTTTAATATGTCCCCCCATCCCATATATGTCCCTCTTTGTGGCCTTTTGGCCTGTTAAGCGCCCCTTCCACGCCCACTCTTCTTTGATTAATTACGTGACGAGCATGCAAATAGATTGCGGTCCGTTAACTTAATTAAGATTTGTGCATTAAAACCAAGCCCAAAAAACTGGTAACCCTTTAAAATCCCACTTTCTGTGTCCTTTCCGTTTTCCATTCTGTTTATTTGGTAGGTAAATAAACTGTGGCAAGGAAATAAACTCAATGCTTAGAATAAGCAAAACGAAAAAATCCATTCAAAATAGAGGGAGAGACTTAAGAAATCACTGGGGTTTTGAAAACACTTTAAAAGGTGACCAAAAATAAGCCATTAAAAAAGTTAATTTAAATTTACAAATAAATGCAACGCACTTCTAGATTGTTTTTGCATACTTTAACACACCTTTTCAATCAGTTTCAAAACCAAAGAGATTTCTGTGGCAGCCTCAATACTCAGATAATTTTCAGGAACAGTTTAACATTTTAAATCCCCAACGAATTAAAAGTAGATCCTTAGATTTCAGTTGAGCAATGGCAATTTGTGCCTTGGGAAATGATTCCGCTACGCAACATTCTGTGCCACAAATAACCACCTCAAATATCCTGGGAAACTAAACTACTTTCAATTAATGTAATTGCAGCAAATGCCAACGTGTCATTTTTATATAAAGGAGAATTCCTTTCGTAGCAACAGTGCAACAGTGACAATGGGGCGATGTGGCAGCTGGGGCGACTTAACCGCTTCCTGTTCACGTTTCTATAAAGTGTCCCAATGAGCATCTTGTTAACACACTCTCCCTGCCGGAGACCATTACGTACTCCCTGGGAAACCGGGCCATTGACAGGACATGGACTGGGGACAGCAATGTACAGGACCGGAGATGAGGACACGGGGCTGTACGAAATAGAATTACGTGTGGGTGGTCGATCTTGGGCTCCTTTGTCTGGCAACCCCCTTATTGTGAGGTCCTTTGGCCGAGTTGCGGCGTTCATAATTGCTCTTTGGTATGCCGGTTATGTTGGGGTCTTATCTTTTTTTACTGACCCCTCCCTCCCCCTGATATTCCCCCCTCGAAGGTGGCAAAATTGAATTTAGTTGCTTGGCAATACTTAAGCACTTGCCTTTCCACACACAATTAGCTTTTCTAGCCCGGTCACCTGGCTTGGCCAAACATTTGGGCAGTGGGACGAAACTCTGACAGCTATATCGAGGCACATCGAACACTAGAAGAAATACATTTACATTTCAGGCAGCATAACTACTCCAAATACTATTAACTGTGCCTCATTTCCATTTAAATTAAATTCAAACAATCACATTTTGTTTTAAGACCCATTTTGGGATTAAACTTAAACTCTTAAAAATTAAAAGCCATTTAAAAACATCATACAAGAATCTAAGATAATCTCAAAAATAATGTAATTTATGTTTAAAAGTATATGATAAATATATGTTAAGCCCTTAGGAATGAAATGACTTTATATGTATATGATAAATTATGTTAAGCTCGAAGGCAAGAAATGAAAAATTTTAAAATTTGCTTCACTTTAAATTTATATTTTGTAGAAATATAATAAGTTTGTAAATTGATTTTTACTGCCATTTATTTTACATACAGTTAAAACTACCCTTTACCCTTCACCTAAATTTTTAAAACTGTGCCATATTTTTAACTGCGTATTAAATAAATAAATAAATATTTAACAATATTTATATATTTTTTTTATAAAACTAACATACTTTGATCCTGAAAATCGTGTGTATTATAAAATCGAATTTACATAACTGAGGTTCTTCCCCATGATTTTTGAGCATGCAACCATATTTTCTGCCAGTGTACAAAATACAGATTTTCATTGAATTTTCCCCCCTCTGCTTATCCTTTGCAGGCAACTATGCGCCCATCATTGTGCCGCCTTCGTGGATTGTGAAGCTGCCGACCAAGGGCAACTTCAAGTCCTCGATACGCGTGAGCAACAAGAACAATGCGGCTTCCGGTTCGGGGGGCGTTGGCGCAGGGGGCGGCGGGGCCGGCGGAGGCGGGGCTGGAGGCGGTGGGGGCGGGGGCAAGAGCAAGAAGCAGACGCAACGGCGGCAGAAGGGCAAGGAGGAGAAGAAGGAGCCGCGGGCGTTCATTGTTAAGCCCATTCCGTCGCCGGAGGTAATCCCGGTCATTGTGTTTATAAACCCAAAGTCGGGCGGCAATCAGGGCCACAAGCTGCTGGGCAAGTTCCAGCACCTGCTCAATCCGCGCCAGGTGTTCGATTTGACGCAGGGCGGCCCCAAAATGGGGTGAGTATAATATACAACAAAAAACCAAATATTCAAATTATTAGAACATTAAGTGTCAAGAAATGAAGTCTTAAAAGTCGGATGACTTATTACTTTTCATTAAAAAAATAAACTCTTAAAATGGTGATCTCCAGCTTTTAAAAATACCCTAGTTGCGTTAAAGTAATATTACTTGTTTTAAATTGGTATTACTTAATTAAATTTGTTATTACATAAATTTAACTTAAATTAACTTAAATTAAACTTTAAAATATGTGTTCGAAGTCTCATTTGCTTTAGAAATCTCAATGCAAAAAATGATTACCTAAAAATACTTCTATTATTTTAGCATATTTTCAAAGTTTAACTGTTTAAAACTTGAATAATTTATTTATTTATTTAGAAAGGAAAACTTAATGCTTTAAGGCTTTTTTTGCTTGAAATGAAATTTTGAATTCGGTGATAATATTCAATATTAAAAACTTGTTAGATGAATTGTAGACAATTATTAAATTCAAGATATCCTTAAATCTCTCCCATATATTTATTTAAAATGTGCATTTATTAAACCAATGTTCTTTGATTTGCCTTCCAGCTTGGACATGTTTCGCAAGGCGCCCAACCTGAGGGTCCTGGCCTGCGGAGGCGACGGCACCGTCGGCTGGGTCCTGTCCGTCCTGGATCAAATCCAGCCGCCACTCCTGCCGGCTCCGGCAGTTGGTGTCCTGCCCTTGGGCACCGGCAATGATCTCGCTCGCGCTCTCGGCTGGGGAGGGGTGAGTAATCTTTTATGTCACAAAAAAATTGTCCCCGCAGTTTTCACCACTTTTAAATGTCGAAGTCCCAGACATTAAATGTGGTATTTATTATTATTATTTGAATTTAAAAAAAATTTAGGTAGCTATAAGTTGGAATTATTTTTTTTCAATAAGCTGTGTTCAAAACATATTTGTAAAAATGATTACCACAATTAAAAGAAGCTAGAAAAGTTCAAAATATTCCGTTAAAATAAACAGATCTTTAAAATAGTTTTATTCATAAAATATAACAAATTCAATAATATTAATGGGTTTATATGGGCTTTTGACTATTGTTTTAAACACAGCTTTTACATGGTTTCCCAAAAACGACACATACGAATTGTGAGCCAAATTAAACAGAAAAATATTTCAATTTGTTTAATTCATTATAACAATATATTTTCGTCCTGGCATTCGTACGTATGAGTAATGTGTTTTTAAAACCGTAAAAATTACTCATACGATATGTTAGCCAGGCTATATATAGTTCAGCAACATATTTGATTTGTCTAAATTAATATTTAAATTCTGACAACAGTTCGTATAGGTAATATTTTTAGAAACCTTGAGGATTTTTTTGTTTTTTTCCAGTTAGGATAAAACAATTTTAACAGCATTTTGTGCTGTTTTGGAATTTTGTTTCTCATTACAATACATAATTGCGAGTATAAAAATAAAAAAATATTATACACAAACAATATTATATTTGGCAAAGAAAATATTTAAGGATTAGGTAAAGACTTTTGGGTCACAATTGGGACCTCCTTGGAAATCTCACACACTAAAATTATTATGTGAGAGTTTTCACGATTGCCACTAACAGAAAACAAATTAGTTCGAATCAATTCTGATCCATTCCAATTATTGTGAATAAAATAAAATATGAAACAGTAAGTATGAGCCCACTTTTATAGTAAAAGTAGCTTTCATATATATACAATGTATTCAAGAGTAAATTATTTAAAGTAAAACCATCAAAACCAACCACTAACCACACATTTAAAAATAAACGCTTGACTCGTTTGTATTAAAAGCTTTTTCAGAGATTACAAAACACATTCGTAGGCATTTACCGATAGATCCCATTTTCATTTGTAGTTAACGTAACTTAGACTTAATATTGCTTTGAATCATTGCACTTAAAAGCCTCAATAATTTTAAAGTCTATCTTCTTTCAGGGCTACACGGACGAGCCGATTGGGAAGGTTCTGCGCGAGATCGGGATGTCGCAGTGCGTACTGATGGACCGCTGGCGGGTCAAGGTCACGCCCAACGATGACGTCACCGACGACCACGTGGACCGCAGCAAGGCGAACGTCCCGCTGAACGTCATCAACAACTACTTCTCCTTCGGCGTGGACGCCCACATCGCCCTGGAATTCCATGAGGCCCGCGAGGCGCATCCGGAGCGCTTCAATTCGCGCCTACGCAACAAGATGTACTACGGCCAGATGGGCGGCAAGGACCTCATCCTGCGCCAGTACCGCAACCTCTCCCAGTGGGTGACGCTTGAGTGCGACGGCCAGGACTTCACCGGTCGTTTAAGGGACGCCGGCTGCCACGCCGTCCTCTTCCTGAACATTCCCAGGTGGGTTTCCGGATTTTTTATTTCGGTATTCGCAAGGTATTCGCAACTTACCCTACTTCTTGTGGTTAAATTAAATATTTTTGTATTTAAAAATAGGTTACTTCTAGCATTTCTAGATTTATTTATATTATTTTTCATATATTAAATTGTACATTTTAGTAATGATATCGAATGACATTTTATTTTGATGACAAAGTTACAAAGTTCAGAAAACATAAACATCATTATACAACTGTGATATTTTAATTAAGCCTGCAAGTACCTTTTGGGATAAGATGTATAAGTTGAATTGATCATTAAATTTGTTACTTATCTTCCCTGCAGTTATGGCGGTGGCACCCATCCGTGGAACGACTCGTTCGGCGCCTCAAAGCCATCGATCGACGACGGCCTGATGGAGGTGGTGGGCCTGACCACCTACCAGCTGCCCATGCTGCAGGCGGGGATGCACGGCACCTGCATCTGCCAGTGCCGGAAGGCGAGGATCATCACCAAGCGGACCATTCCCATGCAGGTGGACGGCGAGGCGTGCCGGGTGAAGCCCTCGGTGATCGAGATCGAGCTGCTCAACAAGGCGCTGATGCTGTCCAAACGGAAGCACGGACGCGGCGATGTCCAGTGAGTGGGGCGAGCAGAAACCCTCAGTCCAAACTACAAAATATATTTAATGGTATTTCATTTGGCTCCCCCACAGGGTAAATCCGCTGGAGAAGATGCAGCTGCACATTTTGCGGGTGACCATGCAACAGTACGAGCAGTACCACTATGAGAAGGAGATGCTCCGCAAGTTGGCCAACAAACTGGGCCAAATCGATATCGAATCGCAGTGCGATCTGGAGCATGTGCGCAACATGCTAAACACCAAGTTCGAGGAATCCATCTCCTATCCGAAGGTCTCCCAGGATTGGTGCTTCATCGATGGTAAGTGATGAACCAAAACCAAAACAAAAATAGTGTCAGTCAGCAAGGCCAATGAATTTTGTTTCCAACTGTTTTTATTTGGTTTTTCATATTTGTTTATGACTTTATTACAATTACGTATAACAATAGTTTTAAAAATTCCCTTGATCAAATGCCTAGTTAATCTAATTTGACTTCAGAAAATTATGAAAAATGTATCAACAAATTTATTTTAAATGCGATCTTTAAAATTTATATAAATAAAATGCAGTACTTATTAGTTCAATAAGTACTCATTTTTATAAGAAATCAGATATTAAGTAATTTAATTTAATTCCCAAACTTTACAATGTATATGCATAAATTGATGTTCTAATTTTACATAAATTATTCGATTTTGTGAACTGCTCTTGTCTGATTTTTTATGTTTCCATTACATAATACCTTTGAATATGTATGTATATTTGTGTTGCGTTTTCAGCCTGCACCGCGGAGCACTACTTCCGCATCGACCGTGCCCAGGAGCACCTGCACTACATCTGCGACATCGCCATCGACGAGCTGTACATCCTGGACCACGAGGCGGCCACGATGCCGCAGACGCCCGACCAGGAGCGCTCCTTTGCGGCCTTCTCGCAGCGGCAGGCCCAAAACGAGCGGCGCCAGATGGACCAGGCCCAGGGCCGCGGCCCGGGCAGCACCGGTAGGCTTCTGTTAGCTGGCTGCTGGCCACCGGTGGCGGCGGCGCAGCAAAATCCGCACCATACCGCTCACACAGCTCGTACCGCTGACGAGCTGCCGCTGCAGGAGCGGCTGGCGCTCTACCAGCAGCAGGTGGCCGAGCAGCTGCCCTACCAAGATAGGCGCATGTTCCTCAACCTCCACTTCCGCAAGCGGCGCGTCGAGATCTGAATGCCCACCAATCCCAGATCCCACATCCCCATACACATGTGTATTCCAAAAAGTCCAAAAAGTCCTAAAAGTCCAAAAAGTCCAGAAGTCCCGTCCAAATTCGAGGGGGAGCGGAGTGGAGGGGTGCCAGTTGCAGTCGGTCCACCTTTATTTTCGTTGCATTGCATTTTGTTTATGGTTAATTATGTCTTGCATGTCTAGTCACTAACATTAACACACTGAGAAACGCAGTTGCGGTTGAAATAGGGCACTAGCAAAATTACAAGAATATTTAAATGTTAACTTCTTAAAGATATAGTAAAAATATCTAAGGTTAAAATTTATTTAAGGTTTAATTATCTCATATTCTGAACATTTGGGTTTTAAGACAAATAATTTTGTATATAAATTTAAATTGTTAATGAAAAGAAAGTCACTATAATAGCCATAAATTATTAAGAAATAAAATGAAGATCATCATGTTAGGCGCTCCTTTTTTGACCGCAAATGCACGCAATAGCACACACCATACACCCACATAGACACACACCCACACATCCGCTAAAAGTCCAAGTCTTAATTGCGAGGAGCCGAATACAGCTTAGTCCTTGCCACGATCGCATGTGAGTAGAGCATTAAATACAAGCACTCCTGGTACTATCTGGTATATAATCCCGGCTTACATCAACAGTTAAAGCCGTAGCAAGGACCAAACCGTATTCGTTGCGAACCCATCCATCCCAACCAACCAACCAACCAACCAACCAACCAACCAACCACCAACCAACCAACTAACCAACCAAATAGTACAAAAAAGACACTGAAAAGATACGCGGGTAGGTTAAATGCCTTGCAATTGTGGTCTGGTAGTTTGGACTAGTTGTGTACTTAATTAATAGTTACCTTAGTTGTGATACTCTTGTTTCAATAGCTTACTAACAATATTTGAATCTCTTTTCGACTTTACACACACACAAAAAAAAAACACAAATTGACACATACTAAAAACACACAAAGATGAGGATTTGCAAATTGGCTCCAAGCCCATTAAAGTGATGAAGTGGAAGAGGTAAAAAAGCGTCCCCCGATTCGTTCAGCATTTCATTCAGACTCCATGCGAAGAAAAGAGACCAATGGCTTATGACCGAACCGAGCGAGACGGCACTAGACTCCCAAAAATTTTGTTCGCATCGAGCGCTCTTCATCTCTTTCGCTCTGCCAGACCTATCAATTGGCTTTTTTCGCAGCTGTCTTGCTCGTTTGGCAACATTTTTTCGCTTGCTCTCTCTCTCTCTTTCACTCACGCTTCTCTCATGGTCCACGGTATATCCTCCATCTTTCACACACTTGCCCTGTCTTTCTATCTCTCTCGCTCCAGCATCTTTCCCTCCTTTTCTTATTAATTTGATTGAAATAATTTCCTAATTTTCCTAATTTCTGTACAACGTTAATAATTTCTGCATGCAGCAACAAAGATCGTTTATTCAGTTTCAACGAAGATGTTTTTGGTTGTGGATTCAGGTATTCCGTATAACTATCTGTCTCTTTTTTTACTTACTAGACTGTCTGTTGTGGCTATCTCTGTCTGTCTCTCTCTCTCTCTCTGTCTTTCCGTCTTTATCTCTCGTATCATCGACATTTGAATCGATTGAATGAAACTTAAACCGAACTGATGCTTGAATTTTCTTTTTATTTTCTCTACTTTTCCATGCACACACAAACACACCGACACACACACACATATATACGCAAATGCGCTATCTCTCTCACACACACACACAAAAACATTCGAATAATAGCCCTATACTGGAGCAAACTTCCGATGCCATACTACTAGCAGCCCAGAGCGGCGATCTCAATATGGTAGCTTTATTTTTCAGATATATATATATAAAAATATATGTAGTCCTCGATTAGCTGAAGCCCGAGCGATATGTCCTGGTCTCTAAAAACCCGTAATTCCCCCATTTCTTCCAGTTACGTGCACTACATGAACAAGGATACTCACTGCAGTCAGTGAACAAGAACGGACAGACGGCGTTGCACTTCGCCTGCAAATACAACCACAGGGACATTGTCAAATACATCATCGCGAGCGCCACACGCCGCGTCATCAACATGGCCGACAAGGAGCTGTAAGTCTTCCCATTGCCCATTTAAATCTGGTGCGTAATGACCATTATAACGACCACCAAAAATAATATTTTTTACTCAATCTTTCGGAGATGGATAGTATAGGTTGTCAGCTTTACAAAACAGTTACGTTTATGGCTATGCCATTTATTTTGGCCAACATACAAGAAAAAAAAAATTTTGGAAATTTTTATGTTTTACATATCTCCAAAAAATCAAAAAAAAAAACATTTCTAAATGGGTTATTGTATCGAAACCCAAAGATGGTCAAAAGTTGAAATGTCATAAATCGTTGAATTCGTCATAAAATTTCCAATCGAATGGCATTCACAGCTAAAATTTTTTCAGATTTTCAAATTTCTGCAAAAAATGATGATGTACCCCCTTACAAAAAACTCAGAAATTTGGACATAAATAAATTTTTCAAAAAACGTTTTTCAAAATTCGGTTTTTTTGTCAAAACTAAATTAATTGTTTTTAATCGATCAGGGATGAATGGCATAGGTTGCCAGCTGCTCAAAATAGCAATTCTTTTGACTTTGGGTCTTATTTTGGCAAAATTACAACAAAAAGACTCTTAAGAAATAATTTTGTTTGAAAAATCTTCCGAAATCCCAAAAAACACATTAAAAACTTGGTTTTTGTGTCAAAACCCTGGGAAATAATGGTCAAATGCTGGAATGTCATACACCGTTGAATTCGTAATAAAATCTCCAATCGAATGGCATTCGCAGTTAAAATTTTTTTAGATTTTCAAATTTTTGCAAAAAATGATGATGTACCCTTACAAAAAAGTCCGAAAATTGGACATATGTTAATTTTTCAAAAAAACGCCTTTTAAAATTCGGTTTTAGGGTCAAAACAAAATTAATTGTTTTCAATCGAACGGGGATGGATAGTATAGGTTGCCAGCTGTTCAAAACAGCAACTCTTATGACTAAGGGCCTTTTTTTTGGCAAAATTACAACAAAAAGACTCTTAGGAAATAATTTTGTTTGAAATATCTGCAAAATCCCAAAATACACATTAAAAACTTGGTTTTTGTGTCAAAACCCTGGGAAATAATGGTCAAATGTTGGAATGTCATACACCGTTGAATTCGTAATAAAATTTCCAATCGAATGGCATTCGCAGTTAAAATTTTTTTAGATTTTCAAATTTTTCGCAAAAAATGATGATGTACCCCCTTACAAAAAAGTCCGAAAATTGGACATATGTTAATTTTTCAAAAAAACGCCTTTTAAAATTCGGTTTTAGTGTCAAAACAAAATTAATTGTTTTCAATCGAACGGGGATGGATAGTATAGGTTGCCAGCTGTTCAAAACAGCAACTCTTATGACTAAGGGCCTTTTTTTTGGCAAAATTACAACAAAAAGACTCTTAGGAAATAATTTTGTTTGAAATATCTGCAAAATCCCAAAATACACATTAAAAACTTGGTTTTTGTGTCAAAACCCTGGGAAATAATGGTCAAATGTTGGAATGTCATACACCGCTGAATTCGTCATAAAATTTCCAATCGAATGGCATTCACAGCTAAAATTTTTTCAAATTTTCATATTTCTGCAAAAAATGATGATGTACCCCCTTACAAAAAACTCAGAAATTTGGACATAAATAAATTTTTCAAAAAACGTTTTTCAAAATTCGGTTTTTTTGTCAAAACTAAATTAATTGTTTTTAATCGATCAGGGATGAATGGTTTGGGTTGCCAGCTGTTCAAAATAGCAACTCTTTTGACTTTGGGTCTTATTTTGGCAAAGTTACAACAAAAAGACTGTTCAGAATTAATTTTGTTTGAAAAATCGCCTAAAACCCCAAAAAAAAACATTAAAAACTTGTTTTTGTGTCAAAACCCTGGGAATTAATGGCCAAATGCTGGAATGTCATACACCGTTGAATTCGTAATAAAATTTCCAATCAAATGGCATTCGCAGTTAAAATTTTTTAAGATTTTAAAATTTTTGCAAAAAATGATGATGTACCCCCTTACAAAAAAGTCAGAAAATTGGACATATGTTAATTTTTCAAAAAAACTCATTTTAAAATTCGGGTTTAGTTTATTAATTGTTTCAATCGAATGGGAATGGATAAAATAGGTTGCCAGCTTAGCGAAATAGTAACGTTTATGGCTAGGCCTTTTATTTTGGCCAAGTTACAACAAAAAATCAATTTTGAAATGTTTGTGTTTTATATATCTCCAAAAACTCAAAAAAAAAAACCTTTTTTAAAGGGTTTTTGTATCGAAAACCATGGATATAATGGTCAGTTGGAATGTCATACATCGTCGAATTCGTTGTGAAATTTCTAATCGAATGGCATTCCCAGTTAAAATATTTTCACTTTTTCAAATTTTGACAAAAAATGCTCAGACCTTCTAAAAAACCCTTTTTCGTGCTTATTTCCTTTCAGTGGACAGACGGCGCTCCACATTGCTGCCGAGCAGAATCGTCGCGACATCTGCGTAATGCTGGTGGCCGCCGGCGCCCATCTGGACACCCTCGACTCCGGCGGCAACACGCCCATGATGGTGGCCTTCAACAAAAACGCCAACGAGATAGCCACGTATTTGGAAAGTAAGCTGGCGACCCAGACCCTCGACGGCTGGTTCGACGACTAGACCACGAATCCGACCGATTTCGCCGCAGGTTCCCGCCATGTAGAGCTATCGCTAGACAAGCTTTCGCCGTGGGGCTAACTCACGACGATACACCAGACTAAACGAAACGATCATATAAACCAGAAAATCAGTTAATCAGTTATCACATAAGCCAGATAATCAGTAAATCACTTATCCAAATCAAGAACAAGTAAATTTAACATTGCAAATTTCTCCTTTCTATGCCAACAACAACAACAACAACAACAAAAACAAAAACCAACAACCAAATGGAAAATGTCTTGTAAATAACTCAAACTACCTAATCAAATCAAACGAAATCAAATCAAATTAAATCAAATCAACATTCCACGAAAACACATCGGTTCCGCTTAGGTCAAGAGCGTTTTATGCATCTGGAGGTGCAGACCCGGATCTAAGTGGAGCATTCAGCGGAAGCATTCACCCTACGACATAATTAATAATGATAATGGCTTTTTTTTCGTAACTTTTTTTTTTGTGTTAGCATGTACGAGAAAAATCTAATTTAATCTAAGCAAAGAAAATACATACACACATACACAAAAAGAGGAAAAAAAAAAGAACACTCAACACTTTTAGTGCGTAAGAGAACGATGGTATGGATTAATTAATTTATTGTAAAGAAAAGCTAGCAAAACGAAAGGCAACAATTGTCCTAGATTTCAATTTTTAATTACCTTACAAAAGAACGAACAAAAAAAATTACATATATTAAAAAGGCAGCAAATGCAAATGGAAATACGAAATTTATTTGTTTCACTTACCGATTGATTAACGATTAATGATTATATTGTGATATCTAAATTAATTGATATATTGGACTAGAGAGCTTGAATGAGGGCAAATTGAAATTGATATTAGCAAAGGTCATTTTGCTGTATTACTAAATAACACGAAAAACGATTAAAAAGAAAAGAAAAACCAAAAAAAACACACACACACACAGAGACATACTAATCAAATATTTAGCATATATATTATATATATTTAATTATACCATATGTACTTCTTTTGGAATTCAATCTAGGTTAAGTGAGAACTTGAATACTCTTGTCTAAAACAAAAAAAAAAAAAATAGGAAGAAAAACGGCAAAGCAGCAGCACGATTAGAAGAGAGACGCACTATACCCTAAGCGGCTATAGCTCTCTCGCTTAGACACAGAGACACACACACTTACACTTACACACAGACACACACAGTCCCGATGCACAGACTAGGATGCACAACCCGCATAGATATACCACCCACTTCAACATCACCCCCAAAAAAACCCTCAGCGTTTCAAACCGAAAGACTTGGGCCGATCATCTATGGCGTCCCCCCAAACAAGGTCCCCTGCCCCAAAAAAAAACAACAAAGACTAGTCGTTAGGGCGCGGCAGGGACCCACAAAGACTATCTTAACTAACTCTTTATACTATATTCCGTACTCCTTAACTTTAAAAGCCCGTAACACTATGAACACGAGCCTCAGTGGCGTAATACGAAACACTCTTAGTATTAGACTCATGCATATTTTATCGAAATACCAAGTAGTTATGGAACACTACAATATTATATAGCCGTTAATCAAACCATATGTGTATGCTATGTACAGTAGAGAACTATATTTGTTTTTGTTTTGTTTGTTTTATTTGCTTAGATTCCAAATTCCGAATTATATATAAATGTAATTACATTGTCGAGTCAATTACGTTTACCACGGTTCCCATTAACCATTTTTCGGCTTGGCTAACATTTACGATTATAGCGATAATAACGATAAGCGATAAGTCTCACTATCGATTAATTAGGCACCAGAGAAAGAGAGAGAGAGAGAGAGAGAGAGAGAGCGATTGATTAGGTATCGATCACCTTTACGAGGCTCGGTCGAATGCAGCCCTGTCCCCCCGTCCAATCGCTGCGGATTGATTCGTGGAAAACCATGGCTCTGGCTTTCGGAAAACCGTAGTGATTACGGACCCATGGGGGCCATCGCCAGCATTCCACCCATCCCGCCCCGTGAGCCACTTCCGGTTTGGGAGGTGCGCTTCCGGCGTGGGTAATCATGTTTTGGATTGCACATTTCAAAAAATAAGAAAAAAAAAATACAGAAGTTATTTACACACATCGTAGACTGTCGCAGATGGTGTTGAAGTGTCGCGTCGAACGATTTGGATTCCGGCATTGCGGGATCCCGGGCATGCAGCCTTTACGCCCCATAAGACGTGCCACCCATTGGGCAACCGGAATCCAAAATCGTAACACCAATCTACACCGCCTGCGGCAACTAATGAATTCTTTAGCTGCGGTCAAAATAACACTGGTGCTCTATTTCATTGGAATTGAATTGAAATTGATAAACGAAAAACCAGAAACTTACATTTTGTTTCTTAGTTTCCAAAGTTTTATTTTGTCCATTTTGTTTTATCAATAAAAATTGCTTTGCCAAAAAAGTACATTTTCAATTTATAAATAGATTCATTTGTTGCTTTCTTATATATATATATATTTCTAACAAGACAATTTCTTGTCTTCGTTAGAAAGTATTTTTAACTGATTAACAATTTTTATTAAAGTTATTTGCTGTTTAAATAAAATCTCAGAGGCATTAAAAGATTTGTTATATTTATTTTAATTACAATTCATTTAAAATAATAATTTTTTGACAATATTGTAGCAGTTTTTAACAACTTTTTAAAGATTTAATGTAATCATCCTTTGTTCGCATGTTTTCATTAAATTATTATAAATTATTTGTTTTAAATTCATCTTGAAAAATATAGTGCATATTTTTGTGTTTTTAATCCATTTTCCTTTTATAGTTCCTAAAATATTTTTGAGCACCACCATAAATGCGGCCGCAACTGAAAATTCATATGCAGTAGAGCAGAGTTGAGTAAGGAATATTTAGCAAAAGACAATCTAGAGATTTTGTAGCAAATGAGCCGAGCAGATGGCCGAAGAGCGTTTGCTATCCCCCCTAAACCATTTACTATGAACTATGAATATAAACAGGAAAAACTTAAACTACACTTTTCAAACAGTAATCGATAATCGATAGGAAACTCAAAGAGAAACCGTAACTCTGAAACGATTTGGTTAGTTTTCGCAACTTGCTATTTACACAAAGCTTCAAGATGAAATTGTAGTCGAAGGATTTACGCGGGAATGCGGAATAGGTTAGTGTCACCAAGGAGAGCGCTATCTATCGATCTAGACAAGCTAAATGCTAAATGATACATGATACATGATGAGTACCGATTAAGATGAGGGCTAGAATGCTAGAATGCAAGAAAATGGCTAGCCAAGTGCACTCCGATGCACTGTCACAGCTGTTCGGAGAACAACCGGGTCCAAGCCAACACTATGGATATATTTTCGTGCATTTTGTAGAAGTTGATAACCCACAAGACACTGACACAAGGACACACCTCACTGGACACCACACACAGATACAGGACACAGAGGACACGCTAAAGTGGAGGCACTTACTGCATGATGTGTATATAGGGACAACATATAGATGCTATATATATAGTATATATTTTTTTCGAATCGTTTAAGTGAAACTTTTGAACAAAATATGGAAAAATGAAACGCAAGTCTTATGAAATTCTAGCAAGTAAGGCAACCAAAAATTGTAAAGGTCAAGATACAGATACAGATACAGATGCAGATAAGGATGGAGGAACGATATACCTAAAACAATGCCTAACTGTACGATAGTAAGCATACAATATGATGATATATATTAATATATTGATAACGTAATAAAGCGGAATATATGTGTACAAGTAATCGATTTATTTACACCTATAAATCCCTGTAAATACACGAACTTTCCACTCCAAAACACTCCGCGACTCTGAGGTTTATTTTCGATCCTCGCTCGCCCCGAAACTTTGGACAGACAACGACTTCGGATTCTCCCTTCCACCTGGATTTACACTATATATTTAGTTATTAACTTACGCAAGTCTGAAAGTATTTCTATCGAAGAGTTCTAAACTGCTTAACTGTAAAGTGTACATATACCGAATTACAACCAAACTCACAAGTCCTTCAAACTATATAGAAACGTAAGAAACTTCCCACACTGAAGATAATGCCCTCTTATTGTGTATGTATATGCCTATATAATATATATACTTACTTTTTTTGGATTAGTCACTAAGCATAGACAACATGAATTACTAAGTACGATATGCACTGCAAGCACTGAGGAATTTGATTCAATTTTACTTAAGACAAACGAAAAGAGAAATTGAAATAGCATTTAGCAAACCTTAAGGAAAACCAAAAGAAAAATCTCCAAATTATGGAATAACGATTAAAAATTTAAAAATTAATTTTTCGAGCTACATCGGTAGACAAAAAAGGACTAAAAACTGGATTCGCTTAAGGCAATTGTGTGGGAAAGTCGAGAACGTTTAGAATCTGGAATGACTTTGCAGCATTCGTAACTTATATACTTAGACACCTAATACCCTACACCACACGGAAACACACACACACACACGAATATTTAATAGATGTACAATAGTTATATAAACTCATTCGCATCGATACCCTAAAACCATAGTCTATCCTGTAATACTCTCACCCAAAATTGTACTTTTCGGATCCGCAAACAACAGAATAAGTTATTTTTAGTCACCACTGCAAAATTCAAGAATTGTAAAATAATATACACTTTAAGCTAGCGAATCCCAAATATTGGACAACCGATCGAAATCATCCACAAAATTGCTTATAAAATGAATTTTCTGACTCTCTCCTAAGAGAAAATAAATTTTTTTTGGTATTTCAAACTCAATTGAACTGTCGTTTTTTTTAAGGTGTGGGTAACTATACTATCACTTTATTATAAATACTTGAGACAAATAAATAAAATGAATTATAATTCTCTAAGCGAATTGCATACTTTTGGGGTTTGGGATCTTCAAAATATCAACTGAGTCATCGACAGTCAAGAAAATCTATACAACATTTAATTAAATTCTGTAATCAGCATTTAGCCGGAAAAAAAAAAAATAAATCATCAGGTAAGTCTGAGAAATGCAAATAAAAATGTAAATGAAATGATGCAAGAAAGCAAAGCTTTGATTGAGGGATTGAAGAGCTTTGAAACCTACATCAACCAGTCAAGACTTTTTTATTTAAAATGTTAAACTATATACATTTATTTTTATTTTTTTGTGATCTTATCAGTGACGTACTAATACTATTATTGATCACTTTTTACTCGTAATAAATAGCTTTTTAACAGCGTAAGTCATTTAACTGAGATATTTTAACTGAACCTTCGTTTTTAATTTTTTGATCGTAAACAATACTTGTTTTTTCTTAACTTAGGGATATTTAATGTTGAGGCACTGGGGATATGGCAAGAGGTAAATATTAAGCATCTGTTTTTCTGCCAAATTTGTATTTATTTATTTTTTTTTTAACAAGAAAAACATGCGACACAGCCCACTGTGGGCACTGCTGCTCGACTAAAAGGAAAGCCCAAGTCCGTCGCACAGCGGAGAGCGTGTGACGATGAGCTGAGAGCGTTTAGAAAGCGGTATCGGCGGTATTGTCGGCATCGGCATCGGCGGAGCGGTTGCGATTGCAATTCGCTATTGCTACCGCTCGCGGAGAGCGGCGACTGTCTACGGTCTACGGTCTATACCCTCTACCGTCTACCGTCGACTGTTGACTGCCACTGCGAATGCGACTGTCGACTGGAGTCAAAAGCTAAAAGCCAGATTCAGTTGGCGGCGCAGACTCGACTCGTTTAGTTCGGCGTTTCAGGAAAGCGACGATCGCGCGCGCGGCTTTTCCACACCGCTTTTCCAACCACGATTGCCCCCGATCGGTGTGTGTTTTATATTTTTTATTGTGCACACACATTTTTTTTTTTTTAAACAATTCGCTGGGCGGCTCTGGGCCAGATCCAGTGTCCAATGACTGGCCCAAAAGGCATCTGTATCTGAGTGCGAGTTCGAGTGCATCTGCCTCTTGGCTTTTGCCTTTTTGCTGGCAAGAGTGTTACAGTTGACGCACGTAATCGTGCTGGCAGTTACGCCTCAGAAAGCAGCCGAAAAACAGTCAGTAGTGGATACAACTACAAGATCAAAAAAAAAAAAAAAAAAAAAAAAAACGTTGTATCTGGAAACACATGCGTTACGCTCAGCTGACTTAGCTTACCAAGTGCTTGTGTTTATGTCTGTGTGTGTGTTTGTGTGTGTGTTTGTTTATTTGTGTTTGTGTGTGCCAAGCTTAGCTAACAAATTGGTTAGATAAATAAAGCAAATACTGTTGAATTCGCGAATATAACCAATACAGAAAATAAAACAAACACAAGAGGGAAAAGCAAGCAGAAATCGAAAGTAAATAGTAAACAGTGCCGCGAAAAACGAGTAAATGCCTTTAGTTTCGAATTTAAAACTAAAACATATATAGATCCTCCATTATCATCGCCACCATTATCCCCGATCCATTCCCCCCGGCTGGCCGAAATATGTCACAATTCCGCGATAATTCATGGGTGAGTTGCGATCGAGTTCAGTTCGGTTCGGTTTGGCTTGAGATTGGCACTAATTACCGACTAACCAGCGCACCACGTATCCACCAGATACACTCGCACTCTATCCTGCACTGGAACTAACTCTATTTTGCACAATCTATCCCTATCCACTGCACCACTACACCACGCCCCTCAGCCCCTTTGCCCCTTAAAACCCCCCTCCTCCTCCTTCACCTCTGACGTCGTCTTAATTGGTCCAAATCGTTAATTAACCTGTGTGGCCATCTGTAACCCGATTGGCCAATTGGCCCCATGCATCTCGCAGCCTGACCCGATTTTCGAAATTTCGCAGCTTGACAAGTGCGATCCATCGATTGGGAATACACTGGCAATTAAGGCAATGTTTCTTAGCTATTTGACATTCTAAGATCTGCTTTCAGTTGCAGATTTTAGAACTTCAGAACTGCATCCAAAGCAGTTTATTATAATAATTTATTTATTATAATTTGAATTTATTCTGTTCGCCAAACTTAAGTCTTAAAAAAGGTTATTTGACTGTGAATATTGAGTATGTGTTACAAAATAAAAAAAAAATTTGCTTTAATAATTGTTAGTTAAATAATATAAATAATTTTTAAGTAGTTCTAAAAATTCTCAACAGTTTTTAATTCGATTTTAGTATATAAATATTGAACAAAATGCATATATATACGATTTCGAATTGGCCCATATGTGTTCTATAACCAAATGGGCTTGGCAAACATTTTTCCCAGTGCATGCATTTGTGTCGACTGGCAATTGACTTTGGACCGAGAATTTTGACAGCTTCCGAAGCGAAGCTCCACTTGCATCGAGAAAACTTGGCTTTATCGCCGCTCCAACGGTGTCGAGGTCACTGAAACTCAAACTTAAACCTAATCAAATTTCAGCGCTAATCTATGGCTGTTTAATGTTGAGTGTTTAATATTTAATGGGAACGAAAGTCGAACAGTTTGTGAATAAATTAAGCGATGCTAAAACACACAGGGCAAGCGGGTCAATCGGCGAAATTTATGCTTCGCCTGATTGGCCCTGCTGTGCAACCCGTTTATCACCGACGATTAATCTGTAACTCCCGCAATCTGTGGCAAAAAATGCTGCGGTAAATTATATTAAGAAATATTTCAAACTTTATTGGGAAAAAGAGCGATTGAAAAATTACGACATTTCACATAGTTTTGATTGCTTTACTTCTTGCTTACTGAACACAAACAAGTTGTTGAATTTTTAAAATAGTGTGTTTATTGTTGCTTCAAGTACTTCATCATTTTAAAGCCTAGATTATCGACATGATAAGCCTAGAATTGGCTAAGCCTCTGGCACTTAATCTCAAGTTGTGTCAAAGACAGAAAAAACACACCTACATTTTCCTAGAAATTTCCCAAGTCAATTTCTACGTGCAATCTAGATCAAACATTATTTCACCACCGCGGGCGCATTTTTTTTTCCACAAGTTCTGCAGTTGAAGGTCGCCATCGCTTTCTTTCCACAGAGCCAACAAACTGGAGAAACAAACAGAAATCGTTGCACTGAGCAAAAAATGGCTTTCTAAAATGGTTGATAAGAAAGCAAAAATGGTTGTTGTAACCTCTTTTTAAAAATCCAAAATCTGGCCAGAAAATAATGTTTTCATAAGTGATGGGGATTGTTAGACTAGGTCATTAGAGCAATCCAATTTGGTTTAACTTTTCGCAAAAGAAGGAAGTTTGGCCAAAAATGTTTATCAAAGAGTGATTTGAATTGTTAGATCACCATATTTCAGAAGTTCACGTTATTAAAATCGCACGATAGGTAATTTGCAGTACATAATATAACTTTCTTTTTTAAGAACCCTTGTTTTTTGCCGTCTTTGTTTGTATATGTGTTTGTGTTATCTGCGTATCTGCAATCGCATTATGATCCATTAAAATGCGCCAGCTTTTTTTTTTGGCTTTTGTGATAAGCCTGCGACTCCCACTCTTGGGGCGCTCCCTTGTCTGGCCCCGAACGCTAAAAAAAAAAAACGAAAAACGACTAAAACCAAGTGATGTGGGGTGAAATAAAGTGAGGAACTGGTTGTTGGCCTGGCCCAAACCGATTGCGCAAATATCGTGACTGACGTCGCTCCAACGATTATCTTCTTCTGGCTGAGATTGGGATGCGCGATGCGCAGGTGCAGCTGCATTTGGAGTCTGTAGTCTGTAGTCTGTAGTCTGTAGTCTGCAGACTGGGATGGCAACTGCTTCCTGGTCTTGGCTTCAAGTTCAATTACGGCAGATTGTCGTGAAGGCATTGGCCATGGCCCCCAAACAAGCCACATCCACATCCACAGCCACATCCATGCTGGTCATCAGCAACTTTCACTCACCGGCGATGACGATGACGATGACGACGACGATGCCTCCTGCACATTTTGTCATCGTTTTTCATGTGGGAAAATCACTCGCCTCTGCAAAATTTCAAGAAAAACCAAAAAAAAAAAAAAAGTATATAAAAAAAAGACTTAAACGATGGGGAAGTCGTGTGGAGGTTTTTTATTTTTTTTTTATGGAAGCTGCTGCGTCTGCTGGCTGTTTTTGGGCAGACATTGCACAATAATTTCCACAAACAAGTTGGAGGCCGTCGACGACAATGAACTTTTAATTACCCCAAAGAAACAGCAGCTGTGGTGAAGAAAACAAAAAAAAAAGTGAATAAAAAGGGGGGAAAAAAAGAAAGGGGTAGCCACTCATTCAAATGAGGTTTCGCGGAAGGAAAACCGAAATTTCCGAAGGAGGAAAAGCATCTGAGCCGTCCGTGATCATATGCAATTTAATGCCTGCCCAATTTGCTGCGGAACAATCGGCTCTTTGTTTTCCGTTAAAACCCTCCATTTCCCCACTAGCAGATTAGATTTCGATCAAAGATTTGCTTCCCTCGTTGATTTTCGTGGGATTGCTGGTCGCAAACTGGTTACCAAATTATGAATAAGTGTACAGCAAGTACGATTTCTGGCTAAAACCTAATCGGATTGCAGTGCAATGATTAGATTTTGGCCGCCAGTTGCACAAATCGTTACCAAAACGTACTTTCCCCCTGCAATTTGGTCTTTAATTTTCGGTTTTTTTGTTTGTGCTTTTCAAATTTGAAGTAACTCATGTTTGTGGCCAATTGCCAAACATATTGCCATTTGGATAGATCTTGAGATTGAAATGATTGATCTTTAAAAAATTATATATAAGCTAGTTAACAATCTAAGACTTCCTTTTCGTATTTTGTCTCAAATTATATGGAAGTTAGTATGGTATATATGATGTTACCCTATGAAAACATATTAAAAATTGTTATTCAATCAGTGAAAACAATTTTTTAAGCCTTCTCTAATGAAGCAAACTGAAATAATAACAATCTGTGCCATCTAATTAGCTAGAATTAAGTTTCTTTTTAATGTTTACTCTGCTTTCATGTCAAAACCCTTTGTGGCTTATGTAAGTGAGTGATACTTGGCCAGTTTTAAACGAATTTCCAAGTATTTCTTGCAAATGCAGAGAAATACATATTTTTTTCGGGTTGTTACTGCTGACCAAACACAGAAATTGCTAGCGAAAAAAAAAGGAAATTTCGCGACAATTAAACAGTGAAAGTCGCTAAAATGGATCGCTGTGGCATTAGCTATTACCCCGACTTGTTATTATTGCTACCATATATTTCTTTTTATTTGGTTTTGTTTTTGTTTGTTGATGCTGTTGTTGTTGTTGTTTGCACTGCTAGTTGGTGATATGACAGATTTAATAGAAGGAAAAAAGACTTGAGAAATGCGGCCAGAAAGGTGGATGGATGGCAGACACGATGATGAAGCGAGCGCAAACAGTGTTCAAAATAATAATCACTTTTCGCTCTCTTTTCGCCTTTGTTTGCCGCTCTGCATTTTTAATTATATTTGTACAGATTTTTTAACTGGCACTGGAGCATTTTCCGTTTTAACGAGTGCACACGAAAACTAAGTCAACAAAACCAAAGCCTGCCCAAAAGGTTGGGTGCTGACCTTGAATTAAATGGGTGTTTTTTTTTTTTTTTATTCTGTTTTGGTGAAGATCGGGCCGAAAAGTCATTGGTTCCAGCCAAGTCACGTTCAATGCTAACCCATTTGTTGGCCACTCGAATGTGGGCCAGCATTAACGGCAATTGATTTCCAACTCAGACTGTGACCGATGCGAGAAGCCAAAGAAAACTGCCCAACTAAAAAGCACTGAAAAACGCATAAAAAACGTAGAAAAAAATAATCGAAAAATAGAAAAAATACAGAAACAGAAACAGAAACAGAAAACGAAACAGAACACACACAAACACACATCGAAATTGGTAACAAAAACGTGCCCAGACTCTGGCTTTGGCCTAGGCGATCTGGCCTCGTTAGGAGCACCAGCAACAGCACTAGCAAAAGTCGTATCTGCAGCGACGACAAGTGTATCTCTCAGATACGCCGAACAATGGCCAGGGGACCGAGCAGAACTGTTCTCATTTCTCGGCAGTTGGAAAGTATTCAAATGCCTCAATGGAGACGCGTTCCCTTTCTCCACCAACTCGAATTCGAAACGATTCGGCTTTTGTCATACCCTCGATTCAATGATTATTATTTGGCTTTGATAACTGTTAAGAATTTAAATCATAGGTTAAATAGAGTATGAGTATTATCAAAAAAACGATACAAATCAACTATGTTACAATGTGAAGAGTTTGAAATTTATTGAGTTCGAAACTAGGCATATATCATAATTATTTGCTACAAGCAATTTGCAACTCAGTTTTGGTAACCATATATCATATTTCTGTCACAAGACGGCTCTTAAAACAAGTTTTAATGGAAAATTGTTGGCCGTGTTTTACAAAGACTGCAGCTTTAGTCCACATTTGTGTGTCAAATTTGATAAATGTCCACTGACTGCAGCACAATACAATTATACTAACCAAGCTGACAACCTATCTATATTATAAAGATTAGATCATGTTTTATTTAAGTATGAATTCTTGAAGCATTCTACTAAGTAAAGGTATTTATATATATAGGTCTTGCCCACCAAACAACCTTTACTCCCTCGTTGGGTATTTGTGAATTCGAGCCGCCTATTTTTTTCGCCCATTTTCACCAGTTTTTACTGGAGACCTTTTGCTTCAGTTCAGTAAGAGTCAGCACCCACACAAATTCGCTGGATATTCGCAGTCAAGCCGACACTGTCATTACCATTCACACACTCATCCGCATTCAGAGCTTCGTATTGTTGAATGCCCATAATTGTTGTCGGCGAGCGATAGATAAACAATTCACCTGAATGGAAATGCCTCGAAGAATACGAATATAAATTAGCGATAAACATTTGTCATCGGTCCAACGACTCACAAAGGGGGCGTGGTCGTGCCTTACTCACTGACCTACATGGGTGTAAAAAAAAAAAATTAACAAAAGTGCTCGGCAATTTTAACCATTCCGAAGGTGGCGAAATGTCTTCTGATAAAGCAACTTCGGAATTGTTAGAAGAAATAATTGGTAGTAAAAAGAACAAATAAGATTCTCGGCGATTTTCGCCCTTCCAACGGCCTTTGATAAAGCAACTTCGCAATTGTTCGAATTGTTCGTAAATAAACAAATAAATAAAAACCCATACCAAATGAAATTGGGTTCTATAAGTAACGAAATGAATGAATCAACATTGTTTTCATACGTTAAGTAGACATTAGGTCTAAACGTAAATTAAGAAGATGACTCAAAATAAAGTGTATGACTAGAGCTGCTAGTCATAGATTATAGATTTGTTAAATCAATAAATGTTTTGGAAACTAATATGGACAGCTGGCGAATCTACAATAGAAGACAAACAACAAGCTTATAGTATTTAAAATTACTATGTGGCTGTAAGCCTATTAAGTCAGTCAATATATGGAATCAGTAATTTACAACATTGAATGAAATATTGTAACAATAGCTGGATAATTGTTATAGTGCAACAAGGCTATGTTACAACAATAGAAATTAAATTCAATTGAATAATTTGGATCTTGAAAAAAGTATGTACTTATAAAAATTAAGCCGAGTGTGGGCTACTTCTTAACAACATAGATGATCAAAAGAATGAGAAAATATAAATATATATATAATATAAATAATAAAATAATAATCAATATGTATTGAGTTAACATATTGAGTATGGTATTGAGTATACCACTTTCAAAGAAATTTATTATCATAAGACGCTTTTGGTTGAGCTTTTGGACAAAGCTGGAGTTTCTGGCGGACCACTTCCTTTGTCATTTGGATCATATACTCACTCGGTTTTGAAATTATTTATTACCACTTGTATGATCGGGCTTGTTAATTGACTTAATTGGCCATCGGTCGTTCTCCTTGTCCCACTGCATGGATAAGTTCGCTGAACTTGAGAGGCATTCGCTGAATTTCGATAATGATAAGGCCATCGGTTTTGGACCACATAGCTCTAGACTTTCACAAGCCCAATTGGCAGTTGGAATTGTGGGATTGGCTTGGGCGGTCTAATCGCATTCATTTGGACGTTTCCTGGTCCAACCTTGCACCTCGGCTGCATTTCATTGATGTGCATTGTGAATGGGCTGCGGAGCGTGTAAATAAACGCGAATTCAGCTAATTTCAAAGGCATCACAGCGAGGGCAGATCGTTGAGTTCTGGTCTAGTTTCCACTAATTTTCCTAAAGAAATGTGAGTGATATTGTGATAATAATATGTATTCAAAATGTATTAAAATACTCCTTTGAAAGTAAAAAAATGTTTAAAGCCCTAGTGATAACTGCTTATTTTGTTATCTTCTTTGTTTTTCGTGATTGCCAATTGTGTGAATTAGTAAACAAATTGCTGTGGCCAAGCTGTGAACCCCTTTATATGTTAATTGTATTTAGCTAGCCAATAAAAACCCAACCCAGTTCAAGTTCAACCCACCGAAAATCCAACGTCACCTAATTTTTTATAAACACTCGATTCTAGACCAGTTTGAAGAGACATATTTCCTAGCAAGCCAAAATATAGAACTCTCCTTTGGCACAATCAACACTTAACACCGGTTGTGTGAGTCTCGGTTCATTTTTCGCAATATAAGACCTTGGCCAGTTTCCAGTTCCAGTTCCAGTTCTTTACGAGATCGGTTGGCCAAGACTCATCCAACTTGTTGGACTGGGGAACTTGTGTGGCAACCTGCCTGAAAATCGTCGAACTTGGTTCCGCATTGGGCCAGTTTTATTTTGGGGGGGGGGGGGTTACCTTCGTTAGGGTTTTTGCTGATTCGGGATTTAGTTTTTGCCACCTTTCGAGGGTGTTCCCTGCACTTAATTGCCAACTGCCGATTATTTGGCACTGCCACTCGGTTACTCTTGACTGGTTAGACTTGTTCTACGCGAACATGTGAACTTTCTTTCGGCAATCGTCGAGAATCAAGTTTTTATTTCTGTTTTTCTGCTTTTCTGTTTTACAATTTGTGGCGTATGGCCCACTTCGTGCTTGTGAGCACTCATCTATGTGTGCGGCGAACGGGGCGTATGCGCAATGCCGGTGTAGCAATTGTCGGTGATTTGCTTGTGAGATTGAAAACTTGCAACGCAATGCCAACCGCAAGTGCGCAGTACTTGCACTTTAACAAATCGATGTTCTAGTTTGGAAATCAACAAAAAAACGTACTACAATTTCTGATGTAAAAATGCTGATATATATTTGTCTAATAGCAAAACAAATAGAAAATCTATGAGATCATTTTATAAAGTACAATTTGGATTTTATGTTTTAAAATTATCAGATTTAAATGTTTTACATTCTTTATTTTAATGATAATAAAAGAGAATTTTTAAATGTTTAATAAACACCACAGTTAAAAATAACATATTTTGTTATTGTGTTTTTATAGCCAAAAGCCTTTAAAATTTGGTGAACATATTGTTAAGCAACGCATAAAATTAAAAGTACATGGTTCCATGTTAATGAATTGAATATCTTATCAATTAGCACTAATGCCACCATAAGATTCGATTGCCAGATAGCGAAACTTCGACGCCTTTTCCCCCAGTGCAACATTTATTTGCTGTCATTACCTGCTACTTAGTTCAATGGTTTTATCTACAGACATTGACTTCGGTCATGTGGCTATATATAGACCCTACTTGGCTGATGCATTAACGCGCCTTGAATCATCCTCCAGTTGGCACTTGTTTTTCAGTCTTGGCCAACTCGCCGCTCGGACGCTTTTCCCTCCGCCTTTTCTGCCGGAAGTTGGCGAAGCCATAGTTTTTTGGTCTTGGCCAATTCGTGCTCGTATATGGGCATGCCGTCACGTAGTTAATAGAAAGTGGACAGGCCCAAAAGCGAACCCATCCCCCAATCCCCGAAATCCCCCCCTCCGCCCGACTCCGCACCATTGCACCTGGTACTTGGGCCATCTTTTTTTATAATTGCGGCTTACACTTGCGGTCGAATTAATGGCACTGCAAATTACAGCTGAAAGCTAGCTGAAGAGCATTAATTGAAAATGTAAAAATCAAATGGTAAAAGCTGTTGCTGGCCTTGTCGTTTATTATTCACAAGTGTATTTGCTTATTTTTGTGAATTGTATATAGAAATGCCTAGACATTTTTATGGCTACTTGCAAACAAGGAAGTCATAAAGATTGATACACAATGATAAAGAGTAGAATTTGAAGTACTACAAAATATTTAAATTATTCACTTACTCACTTTGCAAAGTAATTAGTCAAATGTCACAAGCTTCTAAACGTTTGAACAAAAACAGCTATTTAAAATGCTTAATTTTTTAAATTGACTGATTGTTTTTGGAAATATCTAAAATTTAATTTTTTTGTTGTTTGTAATGCCACTAGTTTTGACCACAAGCTGCTGCCCATCACTGTACTTATCCATTTTGTATTTATAATTTTATTTAGCGAGTATACCTAACATAACTATTTTCCGCTCTGCAAAACCCCTGCCCCTCAACCCGCCACGCCCCCTGCTTTCTCTCTCTTTCTCTTTTTCTCTATTTCTCCAAATCTCTTTCTCTGGAGAAAAGCTTGCCAATGCGCGATCCTATGGCGTTTTGAAGAGCCTGCGAAGCTCGGCTCGTTATGCCAAACAAAAATCCAAGTCGGCCATTAATCTGAATGGCCACCTGAAGAAACAGCAGAAACTGGAGGAAAATCAGGCCGGAAACGGAAACAGAAACGGAAACGGAAAGAAAAAACAGGACAAGAAGAGGGAACTCAGACAGAGCCTGAGCCAGGATCAGGATCCGATTTATGCGAATGTGGATGAGGTTATACCGATCCATCCTGAACCAGCGACCGAAGTCAATGCGCTAATGGGTAATGCACAGGTAAGAGGATCGAACCCAGAACTCAGATCCAGTTCTCCAGCTCTCCAAGATCCATCTGCATCCGGTTCCATTGCATATTGCATACTGCATCCCACATCCAATTGAATACCGAATACCGAATACCGAATTCCGAACTAAACAGATCCCATCTTCGGATCGGTGACATCAGCCCATCGGATTGCGTTTTACACTCATTTGTTTAGCAAGACAATCGAGAACTGCCATCGAAATTAAATTTATTACGTGCCTGCCCTTCACTGTACCACCCCCATTAAATCCCCCACTTTTCGGTGTGAATTGACTGCGATTGTTAAACCCGTTTGGACGACGGCATTTAGCAGCCAAGTGCAAGTTGTTCGCAAATACAAATTATATAGACGAGCCACAAGTAACAAGTACTGGGCAAACAAAACAAAGTAAGCCGAGTTAAAATAGAAGCTAAAAACTCTTGAGAAACAATAAGAACTTCTACGAGAAATTGATGACCAATCTTATATTTTCAAACGAAAAAAACTTACAAAACCCTTAAATGAAATTAGTTCAGAGTGATTCGTATTAAGTTATTAAAAAAGGCAATTAATCATCATTGAACTATTTAGAACAACTATATTTCTTAGACCAATTAGTAGCATAGAACAAAGTTAAGCTAAAATATACATTTTTAGTTCAATGTAAAAAGACCTAAATAGTTAAAAAGAATATAAAAAGCATAGCTTTGATTACTTAATATTAAAATTAAACTACTATTGAACTTAAATAATTATATTATGCAATATTATAATTATTGTCCTAAAATAATTTAAAATGTATATTAATTTATTAGTCATTTCGCTAGCAAGCTAGATTATAAATATCGTTCCCAATTGTAAATGCAATACAGAGCCGCCTAATCTAAGTTACTTAATATCAAAGTATTAAATCATTTTTAAAGTCAGGTGTGAAACTTGGCTGATCCACGCAGGTGTAAAACCTGACTGAGGTTTGCAGCTTAACTTCACTTTGGTGCTGGCACTAGATAAACAACTTGAAAAGCTTTTTATTACATATTCAAAGAAAACATGGAAAACTGCCGGCTTCTGCTTTTGTGGTGTTAGGCTAAATTCTCGAATTAATTAATTATGAATCGGTGTTGGTTACTCCATTAAACTTCAGTCGCTCATTAACCTCAGCCCAACTAAGCCTCCGACTAATTTATGTATAAACTATGTTCTATATCTTTCTCACCCGCAGGTAAGCATCGCTGCAACGGTAATATGTTTTCTGCAACTCGCGAAAATCTCCCAGACCAACAACAACAATGACAAGTAAGTTTCACAAATGTCACAACACTGGTTAATTTTAATTTTCAAACGCCGAAAAAAAAGGTAGCCGCCGCTCAAATAGAGAAGAAACCCGAAGTACGGGTTTTTTTCGTACGCGAATGTCGGTCAAGCGGCAAGTGCATCGTTCATGTGAGCGATTCCGAATATAATCATCGTCCGTCCCCCAACTGCATAAATCTCAAGCGTATGCCTATCGCTATGGTTATGCAACCGGGAACGGAACCCGACGATCCGAAGATCCATAATACCGGTACTTGTCAACGGCGTCGCTTTACTCAGCACGTGCATTTAGCTGCTTAAATTTATTGTATCACTCCGCAGACGTCGGCAATGGTGCACAGTGGTAGCAGGGTACTATCTGTGCAAAATAAAAAAAAAATTGCCCCTTTGCTGCATATGTACATAATGATGTAATAATGATATTGAGTGGAGTCAATGGAATCAATACATAAAACAACATGGCACGCATTAATTTACAACAAGGAAATCCAAGAAAATAAATAAAATATCAAGGAAAAATTTTAACCAATATGGTTATATGAGGGAAGAGAAAAGGATACTTGCCAAACCATCTAACACCTTACAAACTACTAAAAGAAAACATTGTAAACAAAACAACTTTAAATTAAACATTCTTTAAGTTATCATATTGAGAATTCCGAAAGTGAAATTCGGTGGAACTTTTACCAACTGATTACAGACATAATTTATGCAAGGCTGACATGAGTTTGCGGATCGGGCAGCTTTAACCGGCTGTCTCACTTATTTCACCCATTTAGCAATTAACCGCCTAATTAATAAATCATGCCTCACGTCGATTGAGGCCCACTGTGCAACGGTACATTGGCGGGCCAATCAGCGAGTACCGTACCGCTTTGCATGCTGCGCTATGGAGTACCGTAAGTCGCGAGACGCTAGACGAGACGTCCGCGCTGCATCCCATTCGAAATATTTGGCCTACGCGTTGTCAACAACAATCACAATAACAAAAAAGGCAAAAACAATAACAGCGCAGCAGGAGCGGCGGCCCAATGGGTGCGAGCGAGAGGCGGCTAGGCTAGTCAGAACAGGTGCAGAATCCAGGCAGCGACTGCGCTGCAACTGCGCAGCAGCCCTCCTGCGTCGGCGCAACAAGCTAGTGCTCGTCTCCTTCCACCTTAGTCTTCTGCCGCGCGCTCTCAACTGCACTCTCTGCGCTCTCTCTCCGCACAGTGGGTAAAAGTGAAATTGCTTGTATTAGAACATTGGCATTTCTTGAAAGCCCTATAGATAAAAAGAATTATAGGCAAAAAAATTAAATATTTATGCAGTATTCCTAAATTAAAATTAAAAGGCATCGGAAAATACTAGTACTTATGTTAAAAGTTTCTTAAAATAGCAGCGAATTCATCCATCTTTCGAGGTACGATAGGATGGTCCAAAAAAAAGCCTGTGTGCCACCAATTAATTTGGTAGTTTTCGGTGTGCAATATGTACGTTCTAAAACAAAAATTGTATTGTAAATTTTAAAGTTTCCCATCAATGCAATCATAAGACAGGTTTGCTAAGGGCATGCTTTAAGGCATAAGCTTTAAGGCCAATGGATAAGTTAAGCTAAAATTGTTGTTGTATTTCTTTTTTGTTGTACTTGTTAAACATGGTGCCAAGGGAATTTTTGAATATTTTCACATAAAAGCTAGACTCATGAAGAATCACCTAACTAACTGTTACAGGTATGTTTTTTGTGATCTACATATCACTCACTTGCTCCACTGTGCGTTGGGATTCGCGCTGCCTGCACCGCTGCCTCCGCCGGCGTTCCGTTCTGGCAGAGCTCTACCGCTCCACCGCTCAGTCTACCGTTGCGCGTTGTTGACGTCGCCTCGCCGACGTCGCTTTTCCGCCGCTGTTCTAAATTTAGTCGCCGACGCCGACGTCGCGAGTTTCTGTAAATGTCGCCGCTGCCGCCGTCGACATATTATAACAATAATACACTCAATAGTTACATTTTTATATATATTTTCGGTAAATTTTGCACAAGTTCGTACTTACACAGGAATATATATATACATATATATATTGTTGTTTGCATAACCGCAACGCAAATTAGCTAATTGTTTTTTTTCAGTGTGCGAGTGTGTGAGTGCGAAACGTGCGAAGAAACAACATCAACAACAACAACAATCATATAATGCAGTGAATTAGGGTTTTGTTTTTGATTGATTTGATTTGAAATCGAATGAGAATTGTTTTCGTGTGACTTCTCCAATTCCCCAAATCCTCTAGATAAAAGCAATCATTTTTGAAGAAACCGCTACAGTCACTGCCCCCTGCAACGATTTTCTGCATCCCCATAAAAAAAAGGAATGGAATATTTTCCAGTATTAATAAACTTAAGTCGTTTATTAAACGTTTGATGATATTAATTCGATTTTAATAGACCAAGTGCAAATATGTAAAACTCATAAGCAAAATTAGTAGAAAAGTGTAATTATCTTTTTACCTGGGCATATAGATTTGATAGCTTACTTTTTTTCTTTGTACGCCAGATACAAATGCACCTTGAATCTTGTACTTTTCATAGAAAATCAAATAGTGTCGTTTGGGGTTCTTTTAATTTTCGCTATCTGCCGACCTTGTTGCCGCCTCCAAAATGAGCTCAAGTTTGCGCCGTGACAAATGGCAAACGCATCTGTCAGATGCGCCAAAAGAATCTTCATCTTCGGCTGCAATAAACTGGCGAATTTTCCTTGGCAAACGCTTGCAGCGAACGTATTCCATACACAAGCCCAAATGGCCGAAAAACCAAAGTCTAAACATCTTGAAAATGTGCCAATTATTTTTGTACAATTCCCAAATAGAACACAATAAAAACCAAAGACCATGTCTACGCATCCGTACGTGCATATGTATATGTATCCGTCCGATATCTGCGGAATATATGTACGTATTTATAGATATTATGTGATCTTTACACGAATGTTCGCTTTTGATGGCCGGTTCTTTGGTTTAGCCAGCGATTAGCATAATTATTTATGGCCCAGCAATTGTTGGGAGTCTTTTGGCAGAACTTTATTGTTAAATAACGATTTACCGTTAGGAGGTGATAGAGAGTTCCACAGTGAAGCCTCAACAACGCTAGCTGTCACCTCTTTCAATATCACTTGGATAAATGTAACTAGAACATTGCATTATTTCTTTGAATTAGTATTAAAATCAGGAGTTATAATAATAGATTTTCTATATTATCTAAGTGGCTTTTGTGGCGTTTTTATCGTGAATATAGTATTTGATTCTTGAAATTTTGGAATTTAATAATTGGGGACGTATTAATCACATAATTTTGTAAAGCCCTGAAGTTACATACATACTTTGAACATTTCGGCATATCGAATCCGGACTGTTGTTCGATAGTTAATTAGGCACAGGCACCATATTCAACGGACTCTGAAGACAAACACAATGACAAAAAACAAAGCATAAGCCCAAAATGACCGAATGTCGAATAAAAATAAATGCAGCCGCTTTTCAGCCGCCTCTTCTGCCGTATCTTCTGGGTCTTCTGCGTAGTCTCCTGGTCTTCGGAGCCCCTTCTTCTCGCCCTTTTTAAAGAACAAACGCATTTCTAACAAGATTGACAGGCACTCAAAGCGAATGAGCAAGCAAGATGGCCAGCACCCCTCTGCCTAACGGCATTCG